AAAGACTAAGGTCGCTCAAAAGACTAAGGTCACTCCAAAGACTAAGGTCGCTCAAAAGACTAAGGTCACTCAAAAGACTAAGGTCACTTGAAAGACTAAGGTCACTTGAAAGACTGAGGTCACTTGAAAGACTAAGGTCACTCAAAAGACTAAGGTCACTTGAAAGACTGAGGTCACTTGAAAGACTAAGGTCACCCGAAAGGCTAAGGTCGCTCTAAAGACTAAGGTCACTTGAAAAACTAAGGTCACCCGAAAGGCTAAGGTCACCCGAAAGACTCCCTGGAGAAAAACCCTAATACTGGGAGAAATGCCAAGTCTTGGGATCGAACCCGAGACCCAAGAGGTAAGAGGCAAGTAAACGACTACTTAGTGCTACACCCATAAAATGACCATACCTGATGGAACATCAATGCATATCTGTGAACATCCTCCATTCAAGTACCTACAGCCACGAAGAGCACATCCAGGACCCTCGTCACTTCCATCTACGCAGTCTTGTTTACCATCACAGACCTTTTTATCAGAGATACACTGGGTACTGTTAGAGCATTGCCACTGGCCTTGCCTACATACTGGAGCAGCAGTACCTGGGTCTACACAACAAACACTTATATATTAAAATCATACTTTCCTCTATGAAGCCCCCAGCCTTTAATAAGTCCCCACCCCTAATGAACGTTGAGGTCCTTTTTCCCTTGACAGGACTTTGAAAGTCATTTCATCTGTCAAGATTATAAATAAAAGTAATTATGAATTTCCAAAGATCAGGAAAATTTATTAAGCCCCAAGCCTCTAATAAGCCCTGCCCCTCCTGAGGCGTCAGTAAGACACTATTTGTCTTTACCTACCAATACATCTGCATTAATCATGGGGCTAATTCCATTCTCAAATGTTTAAAGCGGTTATCGTATGAGTGAGAAACATAAGGTAGTTACTTACAGCACGTACCGCCTTATAAGCAGCCCAGAGTGCAAAAGCACTGAAAAATAATAAGTTCCCAGTGGGCTTAATAGAGGAAATACGGTACATTACGGTACATCCTATAGTCCAGTAGCAGAGTCCGGAAAATAGGGGTTTCGTTCAACTCACAGGTTAGAAAAAGTTTGACACCGGATTTTGATAGAACAAGACCTCTTGAAAAACCCAGAGTAGTTTTTAATGTTGAAATGTGGTATAGGTTCCGAACTAGGGGGTGTTTTTGTCACGCAATACCGGATATCAGCATGAAATCGAGGCTGGTCATATAATCAGCTTTGCCTTCTCTTTTTAATTGCAAAAATTGTACAAAATAGAAAATAAAGCAAAGCAACGATGAAGTGGAGTCATGAAAGACACTTTTGGTGGAAAAAATTACTTCTGTAACAAAATATAAAAAAATTATATACACCTAATTGAAAAAACGTAGTCGGGTTCGAGAAGGTCATATCATCGAAGCTAAGACCGAAAAGGATTTGGGTACTCCGAAATGCGTATTACATTTGCATATAGACATGTAAAAATGCACAGTAGAGCAAAGTCGGTCGACCTAGATTAACAACATGCCAAAGTCATGATGCATAAAATGTGCACAGGAAGGGAAAACTGCAATACGCATACAATACCTTGGCAATCGTTAGAGTGGGGGTTAGTATAGCGCTATGAGGCTTACCACAATTTTTCTCGTCAGTATTGTCACCACAATCGTCCTCGCCATCACACTGCCATAAAATAGGAACACATCGTTTATTCTTGCACCTCATCTCGGTTTTCCTGCACTTCGAGACGGTACAGTTGACATGTTCGTCTGATCCATCACCACAGTCATTCTCAAAGTCACATTCAAAAAGATCTGGAATACACCGCGAGTTGTTGCATTTGAACTCTTCTTCATTACATCGGTTGGGAGAACCTGTGGCTGAAACAAAATCATAATATGTGTTATAAATTAACTGTTGGTTGGGAGCGCGTGCTTTATGAGAGCACACAGCCCGCGTGCGCACTTTCAGTTAGGTCGCTCCTATCAAAAAACAAACGGTTATTGCAATTTTTATTTAATTTAAAAGATTTTTAAAAAATTGCTTGCTGTGCTGTGCTGTGCTGTGTGGAGTTATAAAGCAAAGAAACGTGTTCATTTGCATAAACTTTAACTTGGATTTTCTTGGGCAGATTCACTTTAATTTTGAAAATTTTAGTGAAACACAAAGGAACTAACCTAGACGTTTGATAAGCAATCTACAGTATGAGTGGCCGTGTTGTATCCGATGTACAAACTCGCGGTTACGCCTCTAGTTTGTATACCGGATACAACACGGCCACTCATACTGTATATATTACAAAAGAGTCTGCTGTGAAATTAGAGCGTATGTGGTTATCCTACAGCACTGTACGATTTGATTTTAATAGACCTTATGCAAATTGGAAGAATATCACTACATGTTCCTTGATGACACCTTTTTACTCAGGGTTACCGTTAGGCTTATTTCAGTGTCAAAATCTTCACAAATACCAACAGTAAGAGAAGATGAGTTCACAGCTCACAGCACGCTCACGCACTACTCCAACAATACAAATACATTGAAATTCCACGGACCTTAACTGGAACACATGAATGTTCTACACAAAATCTAGGATAGCCATAAGCAACAGAGAACCTTAGACCCCGTCCACACGTATCCAGAAATTTTTGTATCCGCAAATCATTTTTCGCGGATACGAAAATGTTTGCATCCACACGCAGGGTATTCGAATCGTTTTCACCGTCCACACGTGTCCGTTTTCGTAAAATTTGCGGATACGGACACAAAAATTTGCGGACACGTGTGGATGCAACCCGTATCCGTAAAAAAAATTGCGGATACAAAAGTTTCCGTATACGTGTGGACGGGGCCTTAAACTTGAGAATCTACCCATAATCCTTGTGGGTCTCAGCTTAGTAGCTATTCAGGTGACTAACTTTATTCAAGAGAATATGAAGTAAGAGAGCATATCCCTGTGACCCATGAAAGTTTCTTGAAAATCTATTTTTAGCTCCGCGCGCTAGTCCTGAGCTATTTTAGCATGCGAATCTTGATTGGTCAGAGTTGTAGTGATGTCATGGGTACACAAGAGATCGGCAGTGACAAAGCAAGCTTCACGTAGTTGACAAACCAAACTTTATTCAATTTGACGAGAAAATGTGTTTAGAGGAATTCCTTGAGAAATTCTGAAAGGTATTTGAAGGAATCCATTATAACAGCATATGTAAAAAATACTCATCTTAGACAACATCATTCAAGCTTGTTTTGAAATCAAAACAATGGTCGCTCGATTGAGAATCGATCATTTTGGAGTTGATTGCAGTTATAGATGAGACTGTAAGTTATTCCACAATT